AGGTATCCAGAATCCTCCCTATGACAACTGCCTGAAGTTTCTCTTTTCTGCCACCCAGGCATAAACCCTCACACAAAATTTTATTCTTCTCAGACAGCCAGGGAAGGGATGATTGTTTATGTGCACATTTTTGTTGTATGTGTATTTCTGTGTATTATTTCTTAATCATCTGTCTTCTGTGGCTCATAAAGTTGGGGGATTAGGTTTGGTTTTCTTTGTAGAAGGAAGTGGCACAGAGCAATCTTCCAGTTGGTGCTTCATTTCCTTCTGTTATCCCTTAGACCATCTACAATTGTCTGTCTCACTCACTGGAACCAGTGCTCTTCAATCAGTCCTCATCCCCATACCAATCATTCACATTTCTCTCCTCTCAGTTTGTGTCAGATTGCCCTAACTCATTCCACTGGTTTTATTCCTTTCAGTCAGGCTTGTCTTGTTCTTCAGCATATGTCTTGTAACTTTCCCAGCTGTTGTTTTTCTTCCTTTTTTAAGACATTTTCTCTCTCTTCTTTGATTTTCTTCTTAGCCCTATCCAGGATTGTCATTTTTGTATGTCATCCTTCTGTTGCTCACACAGGCTACAAACTGCTTTCCCAAACTCAGCTTCTACAATAAACTGTACTAACGGAATTAAGTTGCTGACTTTGAGTAAATCAAAGCATTTCATGGCAGAGCTTGTCGTGCTCTACTTTGTCCAGCGCTAAATTTGCTAAATTCGTTGCTCCTTGAAATTAGTATTCTGCTTATGTTATAACTCCTTTCTCTGTTACCCCAAATTCTGCTACCATTTCAGACAAGCTTAGAATGTAATAATGCAACATGAATTATTTTTAATATATTGCATTTCCAGGCAATTTGTTGGTCACTGTGACATTTGAATGATGACCTCAGATTGCATTAATGTAAGCATCTCCCAACAAGAAATCAGCATCCCCTAACCAAACACAAAGACATGCTATGTAAAAATTATTCTGGTGTTAGGGCTGATCATATTTCAGCAGCAATCTCTCATAATAAACAGCTATGAGGCTGAGTTATTGCCACAGTTTGTCTGTGACCATAAATCAGTCTCAAAATATGTTTATTCCATCATATTCTAGTAAGTACCTGAGATAATCCTTGAAATATATTGGAATAATCGGCCTCAGAGACATTCATTCATTCAAACAGGATCTGCTGATGATAACATCCTTGCAGCTACACCATTTATGAACATTCTCAACAAGGATGTCATCTTTTCTGTCACGATCCTTTAAAATATTTATAGCTGTTGGTTTACCACTATGTCAGAGTATTTCCTTGCCCTTCAGCCTATCTCAATACACTTTTCTACAGAATGGTAGGTATCTTGCATTTGGGACTGCTTGGTTAATAAAAGAGAATTTATGGCTAGCAGCTGACTTGGGAACGTATGCTGTAAACAAAGCAGTTTTCCCTTCTGGCTTCCGTGCAGAATATTTGAAGCTATTTGACAGCATCTATTTGACAGTCCAGCTATGAAAAAAATAAAAATAAAAATAAAAATAAAAAATTAATTACCATTTTGCTGTAAAAGACAGTGGGCACTCTTCCGGCCATTTGCCCCAAGGCTCTACTTGCAAAGGGTCAATATGTAACTCATATCATGAATAGAGATAGCTGTCATGCTGGCTCTTTACACAAAACTAAATTTTGCTCTGTCTGAAAAACCTTGAAGGAAATATCTTTACTTGGAATATCAATGAATGCATGCCACTGAATTATTCACCCAAAGCCACCATTTCTCAGGTATATGAGCAAGGTATACCAAATGGCAGCAGCTAACCTAGGAACAGTTGTGGTTGCTAGAGAAGCATTTCCTCAATCTAACAGCTGAAAACATGCTTTTATTTGGCTTCTTTAAAAGGTTCAGTTTTACACAAGGTGCATCACAGGGGTGAGGACTTAGTTTTGGTGAGACTGAGGAAATGAGAAGCTGTGAGGAGGAACACTTGTAATCTAGAATGTGGCACATGCATTTATGAGAAATTCTTGTTCAAGTCCCATCAAACCTACATGCATGTACATATGTATTTGTTTTACAAACTGAATTTTCATATTGCAAGCTAGTCCATCAAACAAGTTTCTGGTTTGACATACTTACCTATCTTTAATACTCCGTTATTTCTATTAACAAATAGCTTTCTCTGTAAGACCTGGTATATGTGAAGTGTAAATGAGTTCTGGGTGAGTTCACACCTTGAAGTTAGATTATTTTGCACCTCTGAACAAAGTGAATGACGGTCCTCCCCTGCAAGGATTGATTCACATACAGTAACACATCTCAACATTTTTCCTCTCCCTCAAAATGAAATTAATCTGATCTTTCATTTCCTTCCATCTGATCATTTTCGTTTATTCAATATCACCGAAGTCATTCATTCTGTATCATATTTTAACATTAAAGAACAGATGCAGAAGTTACTATGTGGGTCTTTTAGAAAGAAAGTAAAGACATTGACTTTGAGAAATCTTTCTTAAAAAAAAAAAAAAAGAGCAAAACCAAATCAGTGCAGCACATGCTAAAGGAAAGAAAGCCTGGCATAATGGTAGGTTGCAGGTTGTGATCTATGAATAAGAATTATCAATCCTAGTGTTTTTTTTCCTAGCCATAGAGGAGGTTATAGACAGAACAATAATCACTATTCTTTTTCAATGATCTAGAAGCGAAAATAAAATTCTTGCTAGTGAACTTTGTGGATGTCACAAAAAACATGCAACAATAATCAAGGAGGAGAACAAGTTTAGCTCTGCAGAAGAGTGTGAATCACATGCTAGACTGTGCCCCCATTGTAGATGAGAATGTATGACACATTTACCAGTCTTTTCTATTTTATTTTGGGAAACAGTGACTCGGGAGCAAATTTGAGCTGAACATGAGCTCATGATGTGACTGAGTAGCTAAGAAAACTGGTGATTTTGTATCTAAAAGGAGAGAACTACCAAAGAGAAATGTGACACTGTGTTACCACATGATGTATTCTTAACAAAAGGTTGTAATCACTTCGTCCATCTGCACATAAGCAACAGTGCTAAGATGAGAGGATGTGTACAGAAGAATGATGCAGAATATAAACAACCTGGAAAATATTTCTAATTCTGTGAGAACATAAATTCTATCTGTTTAACCTTTGGCAGCACGAATGTACTGCAAATTGTTAAACTAGTGTGGTACTTTACAGAACATTATCTTTGTTGTGTTGACTTCCCACAAGTATTTTCTTACCCTGTGAACAGTACAAAGGTCTCCCTCAAGGAAAAAGAGCTTAGCTGTTATACTTACACCATGATCAGAAGTGCACACAAGGACCATTACTGTAGAGCAACTAAGTACTATCTTGTTGCCCGAGAGCAACTTCCCAAAAATGCAGCAGTATTCTCAGTGAATTCAAAAGTAGCTTAAGAGATGACATATTTAGGACATTAACTTGAAAACATAGTGGTCTTTTAAAAACAGTGCAGTAGCTGGAAGCTGAAGTTGGAAAAACATCCCTGTGCTGAAGCTTTTGACAACAGCATTCTCAACTTTCCCAGGACAGGTTCTGGTGGATGAGATTAATCATATGGATTCATTCTGTTGAGGGATCACAAATCTGAACCCAGCCCTATACCTAAATCCCTTAATGCAACCAGCTGAGCCACGAATACTGTCCAGTAAAAATGTTGCCTTCTATTACTTCAAGATATCTACTTATTCATATTGCTTTCTAGTCCAATTGCTAAAGGAAGGGTCCTATAGTTGGAAGGAAGTTCACGGTTCAGAAAGTCAGGAGATAAGCTCTGGCCCCATTGTACTTAGTAAGACTCTTATCTATTCCCAGCTTCAAATCTGGATTTCACCAAATATTTTTCTCCATGCAAGACTGCATTTCTGTACATCTATTTACTGTATCTGTACATGAAAAGAAAATTAGCAGCACTTCTGAATACTTCGCAAGGAGATGAAAGATTTTCTCAGAAAACAAGGAATGCAGACACATACTGATCTCTAATAGTTTCTGTAACATAAATGCAAAGCTTTAATCTATTGACTTCTAAGGTTGAAAGACACTTTTGTCGACAGCTTAGGACTCTGCCAAGACAAACTCTTGCCTGGAATTCTTCAGAATTTTTGATGCTCAAATCTTTAATTGAATTTAGTTAATTGGTGTGATTTTTAACAAAAACCAGTAGATGTAGCACTGAATGTAGAAATCATATTGGCTGATTAAACTTCTCCATTTCACCCTGATGGCATGAAAAATTGAATGAAATAACTTCTGACAAGGAGGACAATGCATATATGATATTTGGAGAATATCACCTTTTCTTTATATACTACAAATAGGTGATGAAAAATGACTAATCATGTCAACATTTAAGAACATCATTTTATAACAATGGCTGGTAGATACCTTTGCTTGTACTCTGTAAAGAAATGACCTGAACAGAAAATACGCTTTGAATGAATCTTCTATTTATCAGATTAACAAGTATAAACTAGCTGGAGTGTGTAGATATGATGATGCAGTTTGGAGATATAAAAGAGGCTGTAATTCCTGACATGATTAAAACCAAAAAATCATCTGTGAATAAGTCTGGAGATAGGATAAATATGGTCAGAACAGCTATGAGTATGTCTTGCTTTCTGACAACTTGTTAAGCTCATCTATGATATTACTGAAGCAATTATATAATAGGCATTAATGTATTTATAGCAAGCCAACACTATCTGATTAAAACCTGGAAATATTTGTGGAAAAAACAAACAGAACAACAACAACAAACTCCACAAGCTATTTATCTGATACCTTTGTTCTTAATGGTGTTAAATCTGAAGAATGAGAGGTGATCAGATTGGACACAAGTTGTAGTGGAATGGACTCATGGTTACAAAATATTTTACAAAAAAAAATGACCTTTCTTTAAATATGATCACAAATACTCATTTATGAGTTGAATGTAAATGTATGCAAAAAGATAAGGACACTATCTACATTTACCTACTCTGATCCCAGTTGGCTGCAAAAAGCAGAAGAATCTTCCTGCCACAATGGTCACGATTTTCCAGTACTCCTGGGAACCCATCAGTCAGAGCCCGTTTGATTCCTGGATCATCAGCCTTGAAATTTTTGAACATATCCAAATTTAATTGGCGGTACTGGAAGTACTGAGCCAACAGTCTGAAGGCCTCCATTTGGTGAAACTTCCTGGCTCGGAGAAATCTCAAGATGAAGGCATCATCTGTACGTAAAAACCCAATGTCAGGCCTTGTGATGATCATGTCCCTGACTTGCTGGATATCCTGGTGCAAAATGTCTGGGTTTTCATTCAGTTCCAGGCGGGCTTTCTCTATAGTCTCTGGACTAAGTCCAGCTTGTAAATGGGTCATCGCTGCAAAAATCTCTTTTCCAAATCCTTGACTTCAGATAATTTAGTAGAAGTGCTGATCCCATTCAATTAATGGTCTGCTGTGACCATGAGCCATTCAAAAGTTTTTTGTTATCAAGCTGATACCTAATAAATGAAAGTGAAGGGTTTTTCTTAATCCTGCACAAAGAATAATTGGCAGTTCATGTGTTGTATAATTCATCCAAAGGAATCTGTTGTTTATTCCATCACTTTCTAAAAGAAAAAGCAAATAGATTTTTAAAAAAGATTAAATGTGTATATACAGCTTACATAAACACATTTTTGAAATTTATATAGCAATGAAATTGTTTTGTAGACTTCATATGTAAGAGGATAGCAACAAAATAATTTCAGAATGAGTAGAGTTATTATAAGACAGTCACTGATATCTTGAATGTATATATTTAATCTTTCAGTAAGGCACTCTTATTGATTGACAATTATATGCCATATCGTTTTAGCATTAAAATACTATTTGCAAAATTGTCATATAAAAGTGTAGGAGTTCCAGCTTTCCATAACTTCAAGCCTAGAATGACCACAGTAAAATTAATAATAATTTCTTTCAACCATTAAGAGAAGCAACATTTCAGCTTGTAAATTTGCACATTTGCATACCTGCAAAATATGAAAAATTGCTTTGCTTGTTTTTATCACCTGTACTGTCAGCCTGTAGCTTTCCTTGAACTAGCCCCTGAGTTACTCATAAAACTGCTAAAAAAATAAAACAGAACTCCACCAGAATCAGGGGTATTTTCTGTTTGGTAAAAACACCAAAATATTTCCCACTGAGACTTAGAATATCTTCATGGGAAACTTCCCATGAATAAAGTGTTTGATGAATCTAATCTGACAGGGTTGGTGTTCTAGTTGCATTTGATGCCAAACTCTTGTCTTCAGAACCTTGTAGCTTTCTCAAACACCTAGTTCTAAATTTCATTTTTATTCTTGTACTTTACCTTGAATTTGTTATTACGAGTGTTAGAAGAAGAGCTGCTTAAGCTGTTATGTATGAGCAAAACGATGCAGCGAGTCCCTTACATTTCAGTGACATAATTAGCAAGAGGCTGTCATCAAAGTCTGTGTAGTTACACTTGTGTGAAATAAGATCAAGGTCTGTTCCTCTGTGAAATGTGCATGAAGGAAGATCAAGATCCATCCAATACTTTAGACATCACAAAAACAGACAAGCAAACAAACAAACAAAAAAAATGCCACTGCCTAACTGATTTATCTCTCTGGCTAATTTCTGACGAAAAAAAAAAATTGATTTAAAAATTAAAAGGGAACTCTTGAGTGAAAGATATGCTTTATTATATCTGAAGAAAGCTGTTTGGAAAATCATGAATTATTTATAATGCAAACACTGTTCCATTCCACTGCTCTCCTGGGTTCAGCACTCTCATATCAAACCAAGGGGACAGCAGCAGCCAGGGCACTTCTTAGTCAGAGGTGCTCAAGGTTACATTGCAGGTCCTTGAAGTTAATCAGCACAGGGGAAACCCAAGTCCCCTGTTTTTTGAGCTTGCCTGTCATGGAAACAAACTGCATTTTAGATACCATAGCTGCAGCCCCAGAATCTTTAAATTTGAATAGAGAGTGTTTCTGCATATTTACTTACATGCCATGTGTGGCGAAGGATAAGAAAAATCCCCCCAAATATTTTCATTCTACAGCAACAGACATGCAACTTATCAGTGTGTGATACAAAAGGGAGGTAGTTAAGCATCTCCTTTCTGTATTTGCTATGGAGCTGAAGATGCACAGAGCTACTTGCAGAATAGAGCGTCCAGTGATTCATTATCAGCCTGGGAAAAAGTAGGAGAAGGCAGAGATAGGAGAAAAGAAGGCTGCCTGCCTTTTACAAGCCTTTGCAAAGTGTGAAAGACTCCGGAGAAACATGCCCTGAAGTCCTGAGAGGCTAATCTATGCGTGCAGGTTACTTAACGGTTAAAAAACATGGATTGCTGGGTTGCATACACACACGAAAAAGGATGCTTTCCTTTTGCCTTTATGAGCACAAATTAGGATAACTCTGCTGGTATTAACAGAACTCTGCTGATGTAGAATTGATGTAGAGCATGAGAAGATCGGGCCAATTTTCTGTGCTCTAGATCTCAAATTAATGGTGGCATTAGCATTTTACTGCATAAATCAAGCTTTGAGTTAGAATCATCTCCACGGAGCTAGTTAGGTGTACTTAAGTGAGACGCTGTCACTGGGGTAGTGCGGTGCCCAAAGGCACCTGGCTGTGCTCGAGGGTGCTTGGCAGAGGAGAGGTGGAAGCAGGGAGATGATGTCAGGGCTGTGTCATCTCAGGCTCGGTCAGTATGAATCTGAATGTGAATTTGGAACCACTGTGACTTGTGGCAGATAAATGTGACCTCAGTGGTTTCACAGTTTTTGTGAGAGTATATGGGAGGAAAATCATGCCTTGCTGAGCTCCTTTTCAGACTCTCACCTCCACCAAGACTCTTCTTTGGAAATGAGGAAAATTCCTGAAAGGTTAACTGCAGTCTGCTGCAGAAGGAAAAATGGAGATAGACCAAGGAGGGAAAGTTCAGCCCTTCAGATTTTCTCATAGGGTTTCTGGGCAGTTGGTGTCAAAAATGATGTTATCTTCAACAAATTTTCTACTGTTTTTACTTCACTTAAATGGATCATCATCCTTCATCCTCAAGATGAACCCTGGGTTAAAGAGTTATGGTCCTTTCCTGTCAATCTTTGTTGCCAAAAAAAAAAAAAAAATTTACAAGCCTCCAGTCCAACTAAACAAATATTTTTAAATGTATTTCAGGGATTTCAGGTAGTGAGTTGAGCTACAGCATCTACAGATTATCCTCATTAACAGCTGGAACAACCTTTGCACTAAAATGCTTTACTGGGATAATGTTATGTATTTCAAAATAATCCAAAATGTATTTGAACATCGTTATTTCTGTCTGAATGGCAGCACAACTCATGGGTTAGTAGTTCTGTCTAGCACCACTGACTTCAAGGTTCTTGATTTATATCAGTGAGTGACTTGGTTCTCCCTCTGCTTACCTTGACAATAAATTTAATGTTCTGTAGCTACCCAGTTTAATTGTTACTCTCAAATGGTACTGATTTATCCTGATTCCCAAAGGTATAGCAGAGGTGTCTTCTCCATTTTCATCCCCTGCCACACACACGGCAGATCTTCTTCTCTTCTGGTGTTCTGTATACTCCTATTCATCTGCCAGTTTTTCAGGTGTTTGCATCTTTGTTCTACTTTTGTTTATTTATTTATTTATGATTTATGATACTTTATTTTTTCCCCAAACGAATCGTAGAATCATAGAATGGTTTGGATTGGAAGGGACATTAAAAATCATCCATTTCTAAGCCCCTGCTGTGATCAGGGTTGCCAAATACTAGATCAGGCTAGATCAGGCTTCCCAGGGCTCTATCTAACCTGGCCTTGAACACCTCCAGGGATAGGGTACCCAGAGCTTTCATGGGTAAGCTGTGTCTCACCACTCTCTGAGTAAAGACTTTCCACATAACATCTAATCTAAATCTCCCCTCTTTTAGTTTAAAGCCATTTCCCTTGTTGTTTCACTATCAGACACTGATAAAGTCAGTTCCCATCCCAAGTATAAGCTCTTCTCAAGTACTGGAAGGTCACAATGAAGTCTCCCTGGAGCCTTCTCTTCTGCAAGCTAAACAAGCCCAGTTCCCTCAACCTTTTTCATAGGAGAGGTGTTCCAGTCCTTTGATCATCTTAGTGGCCCTTCTCCAGACACAATACAACAGCTCCATGATGCTGGCCTTTTTTTTCCTATCTTGAATACTATTGCCATGTGTTGGAATCTCAGTTTCTTTGTTATAGTCTCAACAGCTGTTTTTCTGTGTTGTTACTCTTAGTTCCCAAAGTACTATTTGCTCTCCGAATGCCTTTTAGCAGCCACTTACAATAAATCATTCCTCCAATGGAACAAAACTCAGCTTTAAACAAGGAAAGATATTTAACAGAATTTGAAACACAGATTATTAATACAGTAAAAACAAGGGAAAATTTCACCAAAATTGTGGTGTCACATACCATTTCAGTGTATTTGTTTTCGCTTCAAGAGAATGACAAGGGACAAAAAGAGGCCTTAGGTTGAAAAAATATTATAAATTTGTTATGATTTTAACATAAACAGTTTATATTTTTTGCCTGACTCTTGGAAATAAGTCTTAATTAAAAAATAATAATAATTATTAACTAAAATTAAGGTGATATATTAAGGATGTATCTACATAGCACTATCCATTCAAAGATCTTAACATGCTCCAGTACTCTCTTCTGGATCAGTATTCAACCCTAATTTGCCCCATATCACTTGGATAATTGACCAAAACCGTACTCAGTGGTGGTGATACTTGTCTGAAACATTTGTTCTTGCCTGCTTTGCCTCTTGAAATATTGTCCTTATACACATTTGGCCCTTCTTCATCCACTTCAATCATCCACTTTTAGAAACCTCTGTCTAATAAGAAATTTCATTCCATCCAAAGATATGCACCAGGTGAAAGTTCATTTCCATAGCTTTCAAATGGGGAAGGTACTGACCTTTGATCTTCACCCGGTGTTAATAGTCACCACGGTTATGATTTGTATCCTTATGCAATTCCTAATTCCTAACATTCATACACATATTAGATGCTAAAATCATGCCAGAAGAGTGTGGGCTGAGAGGGCTGGAAAATGCTAAGATAGAATGATTTCATTTCAGTGTGTGGGTGTCATCTCATTGAATTGCTTTAAAAAAAAATATTTTGATGTTAAGCTATGGAAAACACCTTTGGGCTATGTTCTGCTCAGCAGGTATTACTCCACAGGGCAGGATGGACCCATAACTGAGCTCACAGAAGCGGGTTCTTTGGCACTTTAAGGTCTTGGGTATCTTAGTAGGAATCCAAACTGCAGATTGAGTGCTCAGATGTAAAAAGGGCTGTACCCTGGCTCCAAGA